CAGTAACACTGTGAGGAACCTTGGAGTCATTTTTGACCAGGGTATGTCCTCAATGGAAGCCATGAGTTGATCCAAAATGCTGCAGTAAGAGTATTGGCCGGGACCAGAAAGAGAGATCATATCTTTCCTATACTGGCTTCTCTTCATTGGCTCCTTGTTAAATCCATAATTGAATTCAAATCCTGCTGCTCACATACAAGGTTTCGAATGATCAGGCCCCATCTTATCATGTCCTCTAAATTTTCTTGCAAAGCTTCCACTGTCTGAAAATCTTACTCTTTGCTTCACAGCGGCCTCCATGTGGACGGTCCGCCCATCATCCCGACTCTCACCACCAGCTATGTCCACGGCACGTCTTCCACTTCGCTGCTCCACATGACGGTAGCAGAGAGCCTCCAGAGGTCGGTGGAGCGCTGGCCCGACAGAGAGGCCATGGCTTTCCTACAAGATGGAGTCCGCAAGACCTTCGCACAGTTCCAACAAGATGTGAGTCCTTTACTTTAAAGCACGTAGAGCAAGTGTGTCGAACTTATTTTAGATGACGGCTCGCATAAAGACCAGTTTGAGCTCAAGGTTGATGGAATAGTAATCAGCTGCTTAATTATTTAATTTTCAATTATTAAAAAAAAACCTCTGACTACTATCTGGGCCAGTCAGGTGACAGACATCCCTGTTCTACCCGGCAACTGGAGATGTCATTTCTTGTTAAATTGTTTTTCTTGTTTAATGAACTAGAACAGCGGTCCCCAACCTTTTTTGGTTGGAGACCGGTTTATTCCCAATAATATTTTCATGGACCGGCCTTTAAGGTGTTGCGGATAAATACAACAAAATAAAACTAGTACCGGTACCGAAAAAAAGAAAATTTATTCATAACACACGTGAAAAGACCAAGGAAAACCGAGTAAACGATAACAAAATAATGCGGAAAACCGATAAAAACCCTGAAAACCATACATTTCACACTTGAGCCTCAACTCTCGCGGCCCGGTACCGGTCCGAGGCCCGGGGGTTGGGGACCGCTGAACTAGAACAGCCCCTTTCTGCCTTTTATAGACTATCATTGCATGTGTTGTTTACTAAAATGGCCTTTACTATGGAAAACCACAACACCTTGACAATATCATTTTTTTAATGAGTCAAAGTACTTGACCAGAATATTTGAAACATTGTTGCAAAGAAGAAAACAGAAATCCATTGCATTGATAAATTGGGGGATTTACTGAATAATAATAATAATA